TTTGCAGTTGTTATTGAGTTAGAGTTGCAATAACTATGATACTGGATGGTGATTTCTTGTATTTATTCATCTCTCCAGTTTTAGTTCTTGATTTAGGGCTTTGCATTAGGGCCTGACTCTGCTCCCTCTTGCACTTTTGGATGGAATGGTTGGTTCTGTTTGGTCTCACTTTGAGTCCTCTGGATTCTTCTACTGACTTCCAACTTCCAGGTTCTAGCCCCTCTGAATCTTCGAGGTTTAGGTATTTGGATTTCTAGGGGTTAGGGGTTATCATCTCTGGTTTCCTCAGTCTAAGGGGAAGTTTTCTTTGTGGAAACTTTGGTAAATGTTTGTTCAGTCAGTATTGAGTCACAACAAAGGTGTGTTTCACACTTAAACAAAAGGTTCAGATGCTATTTTTTACACTTGTATAACAAGTTATTTTTAAAATCTTAAACTTGAGAAAACTCAAGACAAATATTATGACCTTCTGGAGAGAGAGAAAGAGAGAGAGACAGAAAGAGAGAGAGAGAGAGAGAAATGCTATCTAATTGGAGAATTACTATATTTGATTTTTGCAGCAATGTTTTAACGTGTTGGAGAACGCAGTTTTACTTCAAGAGCTACAGAACGGAAAATTTTAGATTGATTCTAGAATCTTGGGTTCTAATCTTACCTTTGCCACTAACTCATTGTGATTCAGGGTAAATTATTTCCTTTCTCAATGTGTTTCCTCATCTGCAAACTGAGAGGTCAGGGTAGAGGTCAGACATTGTGCTCTATGTATTAACATTCTGTGCTCTAATGTAAAATCTTAAGGTATTTTATTTGTGTTCTGTATTATATCCTACTCACAGTTCTCCAAAATCAGTATTCTATATTCTACCTCCATGCTTTGCATAGGCTACCCCTATTTCTTCTTCTTCTTTTTTTTTTTTGGGTGAGGCACTTGGGGTTGAATGACTTGCCCAAGGTCACACAGCTAGTAAGTGTCAAGTGTCTGAGGCCAGATTTGAACTCAGGTCCTCCTGACTCCAAGGCTGGAGCTTTATCCACTATGCCACCTAGCTGCCCCAGGCTACCCCTATTTCTGCAATACCTTCTCACATCTTAGAATTCTTAGTCTTCTTCAAAGCTTAGTTTGGGTGATAACCTCCTACTGGAAATCTTTTCTGATCTCCTTACTTGTCATTCCTATTTTCTACTTTATCTTGCTTTTTTCCCCCCCCTTACATGCTATATCTCCCAGTAAAATGTAAGTCAAGGACTGTGGTTTTTTGGTTTTTTTTTTGTTTGTTTGTTTTGTTTTTGGCTAGGCAATGGGGTTAAGTGACTTGCCCAGGGTCATACAGCTCGTAAGTGTTATGTGTCTGAGGCCAGATTTGAACGCAGATCTTCCTGAATCCAGGGCTGGTGCTCTATCCACTGTGCCACCTAGCTGCCCCAGACTGTAGTTTTTAAATTCTGTATCCCAGACCCTGGCATAGTAGCTTGTACCTTGGACACAGTAGGCACTTAATGTTCCTTGAATTTTGCTTTGAGGATTCTTTCAGCTCTATGACTGTGTGACTCTATGATTCTAAGTCATTCATTTTACCCTGGCTATCTGATTTTCCTCAAAATAGAGGTTACATAGCAATGGTCCCCAAGGAGTATTAGGGTGGTGGTAGAGGCAGGAAGACCATAGAGTATTCATGTAACTTTCTTCAATTCTGTCTAAAATAGGCTTTTAAGCTGCTATGTTCCCAAGAACAGGCTCAGGACATCTGGATAACAAGTTTGACAAAGGGGTGAACAATGAAGAAAACTGATTTATCTGTATGAGGCTTTTTGTCCATAGCCCCAATATAAATCAACTCCCCAGCTTCCCACTTTCAACAATCCAATTCAAATCAACATTTTTATACATCTATTATGTGCCAGCCACTATGTTAGGTACTAGGGATATAAAGACAAAACAAGACAATCTCTGTGCTTATGGAGCATACATTCTGTTGGGGGGAAACAAGAGTACACAGATGAATTCATACAAAATTTATACAAAATACATGCCAAGTATAGAGGCTCTATGGTGTAGTGGATAGAGAGCTGGTCTTGTAAATAGAAAGTTTTCTTTAGATTCAGGAACCCCAGGTTGCAAGTCTTGCATTTTGTATATTTGCTCTGTGCTGAGTGAATCACTTAACCTCTGTGGTTCAAGACTATAAAATGCAGTACAGATGTCAGTCTGTATTGATAGAGGGAATTTCCTTACCAGAAATTCCTTATGCCATTGAAATCACAGATGAGGCAATAAAAATACAAAGTAATTTTCTGGGGGAGGGGTATAGTGGGGAGAAAGAGAGAACATTAACCACTCTGGAATCAGGAAAGGTCTCATGTAGGATGAAGCACTTGAGTTGAGCATTGAATTCTAAGAGACAGTAGAGAAAGCATTCTGGGTCAACTCCAAATCAACTTATTTTGGGAGTGCTTTTTTTTTTTTTTTTTTAGGCAATTGGGGTTAAGTGACTTGCCCAGGGTCACACAGCTAGTAAGTGTCAAGTGTTTGGTCTGATAGCAAATTTGAACTCAGGTCCTCCTGACTTCAGGGCCGGTGCTCTAGGTGGCAGCGCTACCTAGCTGCCCCTTTTGGGAGTGCTTTTCATATTAGTTTGTGAACTCCAAAGATACAATGAGGAATTCCATATACATAGTAGGCACTTAATAAAGTTTGCTTGGTACTTGTCTAAAATGTAACAAGAAGCTCCTCCTCCACTCATTAGCTTTGTAACTAAGAGAAAATGTAATGCCTTGAAGGCAGAAATTGTAGTGGATCTGAACCCATTCCCCAAATAAGAATTTAATAAATATTTGTTGAGTTGAATTGAATTGACAGAGATACCAGACTAGGAACTTTTGATTCTATTTACTAAACTGGCCAGATCTATTCTCCAGCAGCTTCTGGTTGGGGAGACAGGATAATACATAAAAGGGAACTAGAGGCACAGAGGTCTCAAGAAAAGGGCCTAATGAGGGTTATGGATAAGGTATATTGGAAAGAGAACTGGATTTGGAATCAGAAGATAATCTGTATTCAAATCTTAGCTCTTCCACTTACTACCTGTATGACTTTGGGGGCAGCTAGAGTTCAGAGTTCCTGAGATCATATCTGCCCTCAGACATTTATTAGCTGTGTCACTTAACTGCTGTTTGCCTCAGTTTGTAATTGTAAAATGGGGATAATAACAATAACTCTTACTTTCCAGATTATGGTGAGGACCAAATGATATATTTGCAGAGCACTTAGCCTATGCTAAGTGCACATTGTAGGCACTTAATAAATACTTGTTCCCTTCTCCCCTTGGTCAAGTCAACCTCGGTAAGATCAATTTTCTCATCTTTTACAGATGAGAGTGTTGGGCTAAATGACCTCAGAGAGCCTTTTTAGCCCTAAATCTATGATCCTATGACTTGTGTGAGTTTGGGCAAGTCTCTCTGAGCCTCATTTTGTCTCACAGCCTTCCCAGCTCTATAACAATTGGGTACAGCATAATCTTCATGCAAGATGAAGGGTAATAAGAGGTGAGAATGCATATGTTTTAATATTTGCTGACAAGAGTGACAGGGGCTTATTCTCCAAGGTTCTCACCAAGGCTGAGTCACTAAATCAACGTGTGACCTTGGACAAATCATCTTATTTCTCCTACCCAATTAGAATGTAAGCTCCCTGAAGGCAGAGACTGTTCTTATCCCCCGAAGTGCTGGGCACGTGGCCTGGCACATATTAAGCATTCAATACCCGCCGCCAGCGGGCTCCCGGTCCCCCCCCCCCAAAAAAAATCAAAGCCATTCATTCATTTCTCCAGTGCCGGTTTCTTCTGTAAAATGATAGGATTTGACTAAATAATTTCAAATTATCACAAAATTTCAGAGCTTAGACTTAGAGCCCCTCTAAGTCCACTTCCTCCCTCATTTTACTGAAGAGGAAATTGAAAACCCAGAGGAGCGAAGCGATTTGCCAAGGTTACAAGACATCAAGTGGAAGGACTCTCATCCATTGCACTTGTCATAGAGCACCTAGGGTCATTTAAATAAACCGAATAAGCATTTATTGAAGCTTTAGATAGCGCTGAAAAGGCTCCAGTCGAACCCACATTTTACAGCCGATGGAGAGCGAACTGCCCTCCGCCAAGGTCACAAATGGTAAATAGCAGGGCGGAGACTCGAACCTGAGACCTCGGACTCCAAACCTAGTGCTCTTTTTAACGCACCCTGCTGCCTTCCAGCAGTGAAGCCAGTCATTTTATAAAAGGCCAACACCCCCTCACCCCTCGACCACCAGTACTTTAAGCTCTCTCTCCCTCTCCTCTCTCCTGGTCCCCACCATCTCCTTTTGCCTGGAATCAGCCCCCAGCAAGCACCCCAAGGAGCGAGGTCCTGCGGGTAAATGGGGCCAGAAGGGCTCCTAGGTAAGGAATGCTGTCGCCTCCGCCTCCTCCGGGAAGCGTCAGAGTTTCCGCGCCCCAAGCACGCAGCTCGCGCACGCTCCTAGGTCCCTAGCTCCAACAATGGCGCAGCAGGGCTCAGGTGTAGCCCTGGGAACGTGGGGAGCGGGGGAGGGGGGGAAGGGGAGGGGCCAGAGAAAAGCAGGGATACGATTTCTTTCGCTCCGGCCCAGGCAGGTGCGGCCTGCCGAGTCGGCAGTTCCCACGCGTGCGCACTAGCGCGCCCCAGGTGCGTAGTTGGCGCAAGCCGCGGCAGGCGCTGGCTCAAGCTCTCAGGTGCGGCACAACGGGCCGAAGGGGGAAAGACAGAGAAGGAAAGGAGGGGGGGCGAGGCGAGAGCGAGGGGCGGGCTTCCGTTCCTCAGTGGCGGCGGGGCCCGCCCCTTCCCCGGGCCCACCAATGAGGGGACCCAGAGAGGTCACGTGCTCGCCGTCGAAGCCCCGCTCGCCGCCAGAGCAGCCGCGGCCGCAGCAGCAGCAGCAGGAGCCGGAGCCGCCGCCGCTAGACCGAGGAGCCGGAGCTGAGGAGGCGGCGGCGGCGGCGGCGGTGCGGGGAGCTCAGAGGGAGCCCGCGTTTGGGCCCGGCAGCGGGAAGTGGGCGCTGGCTGGGGTAGGCGTCAGGGGGCGGGCGGGCAGTCGGCGGTTGGAGGCGGTTGACTGCGGCCGTTGTGGCGGTTGGGAGCCGGCCGAGCGCTGCTCCGCATTGTTTATTGTGTGTGTCCTTAGCAGCAGCAGCCGCGGCCACGGGGAGCCCCGGGGAGCTTGGAGCCGGGGGAGGGATCCTAGCGCCTCCCCCACCTCTCCCGGGCCCGGCCCCGGCGGGGAGGATGGGCGGGCTTTGTATCCGCCGCCGCCGCGGCCGCCGCGTCCCGGGAACGACAAGGGCAGGACGGTACATTCACCTTTGGAGGGGGAGGGAGAAGAGGACGAAGATGAAGCATGGGTTATGTATGGGAGAGAGAGCCCGCGCTCAGCCTGACCAGATCCGGGAAGGGGAGAGGCTGGTTGGTCGAGGATGGAGACGTGGGGGGGGGGGGGGGGGGGGGGGGGGAGGGGGTGAAGGGGGGGCTCGAAAATGGAGAGAGGGTGGGGAGCTTCCAGGGTGGGGAGAGGATGGTGGGAGGGTCGAGGGTGGGGAGAGGGTGATGGGAGGGTCGAGGACGGGGGTGGGTGGGAGTGTGGGCCTAGAAGATGGGGGAGAGAGATGAGGCTCGAGGATAGCATAGAGGGAGGGGGTTCGACGACGGGGAAGAGTGGGGGGCTCGAGGATGGGGTGAGAGGGTGGAGGCCGAAGATGAGATGAAAGTATTTGGGGGGTCAAGAATAAGGAGAGGGAGGCAGTGGGGTGGGTATAGTGAACGGTAGAGGCAGGAAGGATCAGTATAGGGAGTTGTGGGACCCACGGGGTTAAAGTGGGGAGAGGTGGGCGATGGCACCCACTATGATGGGTGTAGTAAGTGATTTGGGATTCTTATTCCAAGGAGGAAGGCTTGGGTGGTGGGGGGGGTAGGGAGGAGGAATTTTTTTGGTAAGGTGAAGCACAGCAAAGCATATTCTGGGTAAGGCAGGGATAGTGAGGATAGACTGTAACTTACCTGGTAGGTAGGGCAGGGGGTGTGTGGGGGGGTTAATAGAGCGTGGTATACGGTAATGGGGAATAGGTAGAGAAGAAGAGATGGAAGTGATGCAAAATTCTTGAGTTTGGCTTAGGAATAGAACCAGAATGTAAGGGCATGATTGTTGGAGTTTGAAGAAGTCAGAAAGGGCCTAAGTTAGGTGATTAGAGGTAAAAATAGGGTTTCTGGTTAGAGAAGAAAGTGAAAGGATGGTAGGGTGCTAGGGTTGTGTAAAATTGATTAGGCTTATGGATTAGAGGTTAGCATAGAGCTGATATGTTGGAGACAAGATTCTACTATTCATGATAATGGAAAGTTGAAGGGCATATTTCCCAAGATGCAAAAGCATTGTTCCTAGGGCAATGGAGTTTGACTGGATATGGTTCTAGAACCCTTTGAATGGGGAGGTGGTAAATGATAAGCAGCTTCTGGTCATCTTTAAGTTAGATTTGTGTTTAAGCTTTGATACTTACTAGCCTTGTGAACAACTTGAGGTTACTTGAGCTTTCTGAACCTCTGTACTTACCTGCAAAATTCTGAAAAATAATACTTGAACTACTTCACGGGGCTGTCAGATTGTTTTGGAACCGGGAGTTTAAGCTGGACCTAAGTGCAAAACTGCAAGATTAGAGGAAGCATGGAAGGGAGGGTTGGGGGAAGGCTTTGAGATTGTGGGGCAACCCTCTGTACTGTTAGGTGTATGATACTTAGGGCTAAAAGTCCTGAACTTGAGTGCCAAGGATCTTGGACTGGAGGATACATGAATGTTCAAACTTTCCAGGTAAGGTGTAGCTGGAGGGCAACAGAAAACAGGAAGATACTGTCTCCTGGTGATAGGCCATACACTTAGAGCCAGTTAGAGGTCATCTTAAACTGGAGGTTTAAGGTCTGGACCTCAAGCTTAAAGGGAACCTTAAATTTCATAAGAGTCACAGAATGTTAGAACTTGGAGGGAACTTATATGGCCTCCATTCCAATCCCCTCTTGAAGGTGACTTGCTCAGGGTCTCATAAGTAGTCATTGGCAGAATTGAGATTGTAACCCAAGTCTTCCCAGTTCCATATTCAGTACTCTTCCACTGCATCATGCTGTCCTTCTAATTTAGCATGTAAAGAACTCTTTTGACTGTGTATATGAATTGTGGCTGCCTGAAAACTGTTTTGCTTTTGTTTTTTTGGACACAAAAGCCCAGTAAAGTGTTGTTCAGTTAAAAAAATTTAAGTTATTGCACTTTTTCATTTTGTTCTTTTGTTTTCAAGTATCTATTATGGCTCTGGGCCTTCAAATGTGACAGTGACTGGAGGCTGTCTGTGGAGATTCTGCAAATATTGTGGTGTTCTGGTTAATTGGGGTTAGTTTTTAGGTAGAAGATAGGAATTTTATCCTGGTGACCTAGTCATTGGGGTGGAGTACTTGGGCTCTTCCAGTTTTGTAGGCCTGCTCTCTGAGGCCTCACAGGGAGAAAATGGGTCTGCAGAAATTTATTTTGCCTTTCGAGCCTCGTTGGGTCTATTCTCTGACATCCTGCTGGGCCGGTCTGGCTTCTTCCTGTGCAGCTAGCTTTAGAGCTGGTGAAGAGAGCAGGTTCTGTGACTGCTGCAGGCATTGTTCCACTAGCCTGCCAAACACATGGGGAAATAACTGTTAGGGGTTTGAGAACAGACATTTTAGTGTCATTCCCATTCTGTGTTCTGTGGCTAGTGTTACATTCTTTGGTATTTGGAAGGATCAAGGAAACTTGCTTTGACTGCCTCAGTAAACTAGGGGGTTCCCTAGTAGACTAGTGAGGGGTGGCCCTATTCAGTGTCCCTAAATTTAGACTATTTAGACATTTTGATCATATTCATCAGAAATGGTATTGCTTCTCTGACTTTATATGAAGTGAAATGTCCCTTGTGTGGTTTTAAAACAAAAGACTAACTTGTGAGCTTTCTGCACAATTGTTTCAACTTTTGACAATTTAGAAAATGTCTGTGGACATTTTTAGTTAAGGGTATTCTTACGAAGTCTCTCCTTTGACTGAATTTTAACTATAAACAGAGGCAGGTTAAGTGGATAGAGGCTAAGCTTAAAATAATTTGAATTTGTAAATGTGCACATTTTGAATTTATTATTCTATTAGAATAAACTATCTTTAACCTAATAGATTTTTAAAAATCCAGATCATGAACTAGCAAACTAAGAGAATGCATATATCCCATGTTCTCTTTGAAAGGGGGATGAGTTTTTGAGGATGTGATGTGCCACAGATTTCAGCTATACGTACTGTGACACCTACTGGAAGCTTTATTGAGGTGTGATAAGCCTATGGAATACTGTGATTGGCAGTCATATTTGACCTTAAGTCTTTGACAGTGATTTGAGTGGTTTTGGACAAGAAGAATGGGGATAACCTTTGAAAATTCCTGTCAGCATTGCTAATTTTTTCTTTTTCATTTCCCATTTTTTTGTGTGAGGCCATCTGAGTGATCTAGGGCAAAAGGGACTCAAACTGATTGTTAGAGTTGGAAAAAAAATGGCCTTAGAACATAGAATGTTAGAACTGGGTGAGGGATGTTAGAAATTGTCTACTTGTTCAACACTTTTTTCTTTCTTTTTTTTTTTTTGGTGAGGCAGTCAGTGTTAAGTGACTTACCCAGGGTTCCACAACTTGTAAGTGTCAAGTGTCTGAGACCAGATTTGGATTCAGGTCCTCTTGACTCCAAGGCCAGAGCTCTATCCACTGTGCCACCTAGCTGCCCCCAACACTTCTATTTTAACTCGTAGGAAATAGGTCTAGTACTGTGTAGATACTAGTACAATTTTAGGATCCTTGTTATACTTCAGAATCTTATGAAGTACGAGGCTCAGGACAGTCATTTCTAGATTCTTCACAATATTCCAAATTTATGAACCTCTGAACTCAGACTAGCTCTTGAATACTTCAGACTTGGGAGTCTACATAACTGGGTTCCAGTTTCTATTTTTCCAGTGACTTGCTGGATGAGACACTTAATCCCTTTATACTCCTTTCTTCTACAGAAACCTGATCCTTCTCTGTCTCAAGGGAATTGAGATGGTTTATATTAAGTAAGTTTGAGTCCTTTGAAAGAATAGAGCTAAGTAAATACTAGTCATAAACATTATTTCCTTCTGTCCTTTCCCATCTACCCACCCCTTTCTGCAGAATTAAAAAGTAGTTAATGCTTTCTGTACTGAGCCATTTGGATGTTCAGTGTGCAGTGGGTACATTGGATGAAGGAGAAATTCTCTTTCTTTGAATTGTAGTTACTCTGCAAAATGAGGCTGTCTTCTTTGCTGTATAGGATATATAGCTGTCTCATATATGCAGTATTCTGTTGCTGAGTGCTGGTCTGGTCTGGATTCTTCAGTCATAATTACTTATGAGGGACATGTATTTGCTGGCTATTGCTGAAGGTTGTTTCTACAGAAACTAACATAAGTCAGTTTGGGCTGCTAAACACCTGGGTAATAAAAAAAGATAATGCTCCTTTGCAATAAGTTTTGTAAGTAATCAAAATTGAATTTTCATTGTCTTTTTGAATAACTTGAAAAGAGAAATGACATTCCCTCAAAGCAAGTGCATTTGATTTGAATGCTTTTTCATTTTTTCATTTTTTTAAAAGTTAATTTCTATACTCCTAGAATCAAAGAGTGAGCTGGAAAGTACCTTATACAATAGAAAGTCAAAATATAGAAAGTTAGTGATAGCAGGAATTTCAGAATTCATCTTTTATAGATAAAGGAACTGAGGCCCTGGGAGATCAAGTAATTTTCCCCAAGGTCACCTGAAAAGTTAGTTACAGATCCAAGAGGAGAACTCAGTTCTCTCCAGTTCACTGCTTATCTCTCCTGTACCATATTGCTGTTTATTGAGATGCTGCTGCATGATTTCTAGTCCCATTGACAGTTCACAACTCTTTCTGAGGGAATGATTTTAAAATTGTGTGTGTGTGTGTGTTGTGGTTTAATTTTGAAAAGCCTCCAAATGCTG